TGTGTGTGTTTGTGTGTGTGTGTGTGTGTGTGTGTGTGTGTGTATGTGTGTGTGTGTGTGTGTGTGTGTGAGTCTTTCATGCTTTGTCAGTGCTCTGATGTAGATGTGATTTTTCTCATGCTAATTCGTTTCTGTGTTTCTGATAAATGGCTTTACTCGCACACCTGCACACGTCTAATGGCATTCAGGTGTTCACGTCTCTATTCTCCCGCGCCGCTCTTTTGTTTCTGACCTGTAGCTCTGATTGATGAAGGTTAAACGGGTTTTTTCCTCTCTTGAGCGTTACTGCACCCAAAATAACCACAATCAAAGGTGTCTTTGTTTGCACGACAACAAACGCATTTCAATGCGCTTCCGGTGCCATGTGTGTGTGTGTGTGTGTGTAAGTGCTGAATAATGAGCAGATATTGAGCAGACATTGTGCGTGTGAATCAAACAATCCCTGAGATGACAGAATGCACGTAGTTTCAATTCTACACTCTTATCTGCTACTTTTGTAGGGAATTCACAAATACACAATTTTCCAGTCTTTTACATTCAAATATGTTGTTCAGTTCAGGCATGAGCGATTATCTGCAGTAAAGAGCAAAGGTAACACTTTACAATACGGTGGCACTAATATGCATTAATTCATGCTTAACTAATGCACAGATAATTATATAAATAAGTAATTAATATTAAATTGTGGAAATGCCATGGGTTTTTATTAGACGATAAAAATATACATTTTACAATGAAAATATATATATTTTTTTAAATCCTTAAAATTTTCAGACACAAATGCCAATTCTTCCAGATGCATCTGCTGATGTGAAACACAAAACCCTTGTGCATGTTTGTCTTCATCATGCATCATGCAGAAACACTCCTAACATCAAACATTTCTATGTAAGAGACACGAGAGAGAGAAGTCAGGTCAGGAACGGCGCTGAGAGGGTCGAAGCGAGCCATTTCTCCGAGAGAGCGGTCGCTCAAGAACATCTGCTTATCTGCAGAAACGCAGCCGCTTTAATGAGAGTCTCTGTTAAATCTCCCAGGTGTCATTTCTGTGAGTAGCTAAAATAACCACACTTTTACAATTCCAATAGAAACCTGAGTCATGTTTGACAAATGCAAAACTTTCTGAGCAGAACTGTGACGAAAACGTCACTGATTTGGGCTAATAAGTTACGGTTCCATATACAGTCAAACCAAAATTTATTCAGACACCTTCAACATTTCTCACATTATATCACAGTCTATTGGCTATAGTTTAGAAAACGGTACTAAAATATGAGACCGACAAGTAAAAAAATATAAAAAATTATATCTGCTGTCTGAATAATTTTTGGTTTGACTGTATATATGATGTAATGTCAGGATTTCTTTTCCTGGGCAACCTGAAATAAAACTGTCAATCACCGCAAGCGGCCAATTAATTAAAGAGGGGGAGGAGTGGGTGGGGCTCACTTCAGAGGGAGGCGGGTGCTGTGGATTTGATTGACAGCTTGACATCAGAGCCATTAGCGGAATGGAAATGTGAGGTCAGGATGAAAGATAATGAAACGCTGGTTTTTAGACGCGCCATTAAAGTTTCTATTGAGCGCACACACACTTATACTGAAGGAACGGCTTCGATTCTTGTCGATCCTGAACGTTTTTATGTATGATATACTGAGAGATACAGGAGCAGAGGTCGGATGTGATTGACGTGTGCCGTTGTTCAGAGAGAAGAGAGAAAAGGAAAGCGCTGGATTCTGACATTTCTCACGGCACGGGAATCAGTCACAACTACACTCTTAAAAGTAAAGGTGCTTCACAATACCATAGAAGAACATTTTTGTCTAAATGGTATTCAGAATGAACCTTTAACATCTGCAGAACCTTTCTGTTTCACAAAAGCTTCTTTGTGGCGAAAGAAGGTTCTTCAGATTATTAAGTAAAGTAAGAAAGAGATGGTTCTTTAAAGAACCTTTGACTGAATGGTTTTTTGTGGAACCAAAAATGGTTCTTCTATGGCATCGCTGTGAAGAACCTTTGAAGCACCTTTATTTTTAAGAGTGTAACACCTCAGACGTGTGTAAGCCAATAAAGCTCATTCTGACTCTGATTTTTTTCAAGGACTACTGTTATGGTATTTAATATTTACATTTTTTGATCTACAGTGCTTTAATTTTGTTTTTATTTCATTATTATTATTATTTTTAAGCCTCCATCCCAAATCCCTTTCATTGTGTATAAAAGAGCTGATCCTTTCCATGCCAGGAAAGGATGATCAAAAACAGATGTTTCACAAAAGAAAGCAGGTTTGCAATGTCACAGTCAGTATGTTTACAAGGACAACAATATTTCTATTTTAACACGCTTAAGACAATACTAAAAAAAACAGATTTTTGATTGCATTAATCCGGCTAAAGTCATACTCGAAGTAAACACAAATCTAATTAAGACATGTGGAGTATTCCTATTTTAGTCTCATTACTGAAGTGCAGTAAAGACATGTACACACCTTAATCACATTATTACCATCGTGTAAGACTTTTCGCCGCATTTTGCGACAGGATACACACACGGCAGTGTTCAACCGTTTGACGGCAAACAAAAGAGCATGGCTTCAACAACGCCGTCGTCTGTTTGCATGTATAGCATGACAAATAATTATCTGCACTTGAAGCTTTCGTAAAATAAAAAATGAAACACCCAAAACTGTATATGGCATCATACGAAGACGAACTATACTTGAAATTTATAAGGGGATGTCGGATGGGGACGTAATGACGTGTGCCATTAATTGACCTATGCACTATAATGTAAAACGGGAACATTAAAGGAATATTCTAAAAGCAGCTCATCTAAACACCTTAATCATAATATTGTCTTATTCATAATAAGATAAATGATGAGATTACTGATGTTCATGTAATCGCAGTATTCCTTCAAAAGCACTGTGCTTTTATTATGACATCCGCCCACAGTTGATTAGCATAAGCCCCGCCCCTTACCTGAGCTTGCCCTCTGACGGCACCTCATGGGGCGGATCCTCACATCGCAGCCGAGACTCCGCCTCCAACAGGTACACGAACACACACTCCTGCAAAACACGAGCGAGAACAACAGCTGAGAGCGCAGTCCGAGTCATTAGTCGTGATTAGACATGTGCAGGTATTCGGTAATGCGATATATCACGATAATGAATATGCACGATATTGTTATCATGGGCACTTCAAAATACCGTTAATGACTTTAACTTTTTTTTTTTTTTTTACAAATTATTAAATTTTTTTTATGCATTTTAAGAATACTTTTCCCATCAACTGGTCACAATGCACAACACCTCTGACTCACTCTCTGACAGCAGATGGCGCTGATGGAACTGCAGAAATGCAGCCGTTACCCCGGAAACCCGTAAAAAAAACCCAGCTGCGCTACTTTCTGAAACGTATTTAAATGATTTAAACAGCCATTCAGGTTTTTGTATTCGCTATGGTGCTTATCGCAGCACTGAATACTAGGGCTGGGATAATAAACCGAAGCATCGCGAATCGAGAAATGATTCTGCATCCGAATCGAGAAATGATTGCATCGATTCTGAGATTTTCCGAAGGCATCGCGATTCTCTCTTGAATCGATTCTGAGCTTAGTCTTTAACAGCAGATGGCACTGCGTGCGTTAGAAATAGCTGTACTCTGCTTGCTTCCAGTTCCTTACAAATGCACCATTTGAACCTAAAATAATCATTCATAAAGTTCGAAAGCGTTGAAGCAAATTACAGGGATGTTCACAGTGGGCTGTGTTAACATTAATCTTGCATCATAAAAGCCAATGTGCAATTTAACCACTTACACGACTCAGCCGAACGCACAAGCGCTCTTCTTCGTGAGCATTTGAGTGTGTGGTTAAAATCTAACCTAGAGCGCCATCTGCTGTTAAAAACTAAGCTCAGAATCGATTTGAGAGAGAATCACGATGCATTCCGAAAATCTCAGAATCAATCCACAAATCGCGATGCATCGATTTATTGTCCCAGCCCTATTAAACACTTAAGGTCATTGCACACTGAGTCCGAAATTTTCGCGCGTCATAAAACAATTCGGATTGGGTTCAATTTTCTGCGTTTTTCGCATCCGTAGCAAGCATTTCGTGACGTGTTTTGACGATTCAGAGCCACCGTACAAGCAAACGCCAAAATCCAGAATGGCGTCTGACAAGTTGATCCACTTCGTCTCACAGCACAAAGCACTGTATGACAAACAAAGTGTGGAATACAAAGAGACAGAATATAAATATAGGCCTAAATATGTCGCTCGGGATAATCCCGCAGCATTGATATGGAGGTGGAACTCTCCTTCCTCTACATACGCAATCTCAGAAATGCATGGCCCCAATATTTTAATTATTATTAAAAAGATAAAAAAGAAAGAGGAAATATTGGGTCCATCCAAGAGAGAGGACAATAAAATCCTCCTCACTGCTTGTTTTGTGTATTGTTTCACAACGGATTAAATAATACACATCGGACTCAGTGTGCAAGGTTTCTGTGCGTCACAAATTTATAGGATGCCGAACACAAACATTTCGGACTCAGTGTGCAATGACCTTAAGACTTAATAGGCTATTTATTTTCAAACTTTTTTACATTTTAATCTGGACTACAATATGTCCTAGATATTGCTTGAAAATGTTTTGATTCTTTATTGTTCGGTCACACTTTAAATTAAGACTCTAACATTAGTCATTTAACATAAACTGCCAATGAAACTTTCTTCTAAACATTCATTAATCTTAGGTAATTTCAATATTTAATAACATAAATTAATCATAAGTTGTAACCGTGTTATTTAATGAACATGAGCTAACATGAACTAGCAGTTGATTAATAACTTCTGTAGCAAATGTAGCTATTGCTCATTGTTAATATTAATGCATTAGCAAAGGTTAACTAATGAGAACTTAATGTTCTCTAAAAAAATTATTTTGCACTTTAATCTGTGAAATGTTTTCGCCTACTTCATAATTTTTTGTGTGCATTGCTTTATTGTAGTTAAATGTTCAGTTCTTTTTGTTATAAGAAAAAAGTTGTTATACTGTATTATGACAACACTTTTTTGCAACTACATTCCAATACCGCGATAATACTGTATACCTTGATAAAAGCATTAGCAATTAATCGCAACATGAAAAGTTGATACCAACATAGAACCGTCCGCAATCTCTCAGTCTGTCACTACTCCGGCCTCCGTGAGGTTAATCAAATGCAAAGTACAGGCTTCGTTAACCCTCATTAGACTCCGGTGGTATTAACGGATGATGCGGAGCCGCCGTTACCGTGGCGATCGGATCGGTCCTGCTAATTTGTCAGAAATGTCAAGGCAAGTTTTCGACATGATTCCTCAACCTCTGTTCAACGAGCGTCTGCTCGCTGTCTACATAGGCAGCTGTCTTCTGAGGGAGCATGTGAAAAGAACCTAATAAGTGATACTTTATATAGAACCGAACAAAAATGGCTCTTGGTGTGAAGCGAACTGAACTCAAATTATTCCAAGTTTGACTTTAATGTGTGGCAAAGCCAATTATGCCATAATCACAATAGTCTATTTTTAATTAAACTACTATTTATCAATAATTTTTAGGAATTAAATATATACACTCCAAAAAAAAGGCTTATCTTACTTAGTATTTTTGTCTTCTTTCTAGTCAAAATATCTAAAAATTCTTAAATAAAGATGCATTTAGTCTTAGATATTTAGTCTTGTTTCCAGGGGGGGCGGACTATTCGTTTAACAGAGGGGTAAGTAAAATATTCTTAAAACAAGAGTATTTTACTTACCCCACTGGCAGATAATTTTACTTATTTTAAGCAAAATGCACTTAATTTCGTTTTTTTTTTTTTCAACCTAGAAACAAGACTAAATATCTTATGTTGTTTTGCTTACCAAGTAAATGCATCTTAATTTAAGAATTTTCAGATATTTGGACTAGAAAGAAGACAAAAATACTAAGTAATATCAGCCTTTTTTTGCAGTGTAATCAATATTTCTTTCACCAAGTCCACCTTCTTAATTCTTTTCTTCCTTGAGTTAAAGGGATAATTAACATTTTGGCATCATTTACTCACCATCATGTTGTTCCAAACCTGTATGAATTTCTTTATTCTGCTGAACATAAAAGAAGACATTTTTAAAATGTGGGTAACCAAAATAGTTGACGGCAGCCATCGACCTCTATAGTATTTTTTCCCCAAAGTCAATGGCTACCAGCAGCTGTTTGGTTACCAACATTCTTTAAAATATCTTCTTTTGTGTTCAAAAGGAGAAAGAAATTCATACAGGTTTGACAGCCTACTTGCGATGTGCTTCAGGTAGCATGTAAACAAAGTTCTTGCATATCGTTAAATGAATAGTTCACCCAAAAATGGAAATGTGCTCACCCTCAGGTCATCCGAGATCAGGATGAGTTTGTTTCTTCATCAGATTTGGAGAAATGTAGCATTGCATCAGTGTCTCAGCAATGGATGCTCTGCAGTGAATGGGTGCCGTCAGAATAAGAGTCCAAACAGCTGATAAAAGCATCACAATAATCCACAAGTAATCCACAGCACTCCAGTCCATCAGTTAACATCTGGAGAAGACAAAAGCTGAAACACATCCAGCATTAAGACGCTTTTAACTAAAATACATAGAGTCCATAATCCATAATAACTCTTCCTCCAGTGAAAAAGTGTTCTGGTGTGAATCAGGAGAGAAATCTGCACAGATCAAAGACGTTTTTAACTTCAAACCGTCGCTTTTGGCTAAAATACAAGTTAATAATCCATGATAACGCTTCCTCCAGTGAAAAAGTGTTCTGGTGTGAATCAGGATAGAAATCTGCACAGATCAAGCAGTGTTTAAACAGCTCTAAACAAATATGTGGCTGGATTTTGATGTGAGAGACAACAGCAGATGCACTTTTTCATTGCAGGAAGCGTTATTATGGATTATGGACTCGTATTTTAGTTAAACACGTCTTAATGATGGATTAGTCTCAGCTTTTGTCTTCTCCAGATGTTAACTGATGGACTGGAGTGCTGTGGATTACTTGTGGATTATTGTGATGTTTTTATCAGCTGTTTGGACTCTCATTCTGACGGCACCCATTCACTGCAGAGCATCCATTGCTGAGACACTGATGCAATGCTACATTTCTACAAACCTGATGAAGAAACAAACTCATCCTAATCTTGAATAGCCTGAGGGTGAACACATTTTCATCAGCTACGCTGAACTATTGCTTTAATATGCCACGCTTGAATGTGTCAGTCAGATTTGCTACAGTAGAGAAAATCAGCAAAGAACTGAAATGTAAATCTACTTTATATCGTAAACAATTTTCTTTTTGAAACTGTTCGGGAGAAAGCTTGTGTGCATGATATATGAACTTGGAGCAGACGTTTGCCAGAATGCTATTTTTGCAGAGGATCACAAATCCGCAGAAATAAATGGGGATAATTCAGAACAGGTGACGATCAAACACGCTAAAGCTATTAACGTGCTCCGACGCTTGTGCTGCATTATACTTATGCGTCTTAATTTATTGATGAATATTAAAGCCCATTAACTACATGAAAATATGCTTAAATTAAACATGAAATATTTCATAAATACAGCAATAAATATGAACTAGAACTGGAAGTGTGTGAGATGTTGTTATCTCCTGTTTGAGGCGTCCTTGAGTGTGTTGGAAAAATAATCAATAAAAGAAACAGCACTCAGATATGACTGCATCAGTGTGTGTGTGTGTGTGTGTGTGTGTGTGTGTGTGTGTGTGTGTGTGTGTGTTCAGCACTCAAAACACTCCTGAGACTGATGTAACATCAATAAACCCTCCAGGAGAATCTATTTTCTCTCTGAAAAGACACTCAGAATGCTGATGAAGTCTGTAGCAGTGAATTCTCCAGGTGAATCCGAGTGAGATTTGACCCTGCCGTCTCACCGTACACACACCTGAATCTGATCGGACGGCGATGAATGATTTCTCCACTGTGAAATCAAACCATCATGTGCTTCCCGTCGGTTCATATTCCAGCGCAGAGACGCACAAACTCTGTCTGTTATTGAACGCAGAGAGAAAACCTCGCCTGGAAAGCGTTTCATTGATCTGCAGGGAGACGCTGCTCACATCTGAGGGGTTTTGTGGAAGAGCGAAGGGTGTGTTGAACACAGAAAACATGCTTTTTGAAAACTGCAAACACTGTATTACATCTTTGAGAAAAACTAGATATCAATTAGCAGAATGAAGTCTGAAGAGACTCCGTGTTTGTTTTGGAGACAGAAGGGCCACAAAACCCACCGAGAGACAAATAAACTTTGGCTGCGGCTCATCTCAGGTGCATCAGTGTGTGTGTGTGTGTGTGTGTGTGTGTGTGTGTGTGTGTGTGTGTGTGTGTTCAGCACTCAAAACACTCCTGAGACTGATGTAACATCAATAAACCCTCCAGGAGAATCTATTTTCTCTCTGAAAAGACACTCAGAATGCTGATGAAGTCTGTAGCAGTGAATTCTCCAGGTGAATCCGAGTGAGATTTGACCCTGCCGTCTCACCGTACACACACCTGAATCTGATCGGACGGCGATGAATGATTTCTCCACTGTGAAATCAAACCATCATGTGCTTCCCGTCGGTTCATATTCCAGCGCAGAGACGCACAAACTCTGTCTGTTATTGAACGCAGAGAGAAAACCTCGCCTGGAAAGCGTTTCATTGATCTGCAGGGAGACGCTGCTCACATCTGAGGGGTTTTGTGGAAGAGCGAAGGGTGTGTTGAACACAGAAAACATGCTTTTTGAAAACTGCAAACACTGTATTACATCTTTGAGAAAAACTAGATATCAATTAGCAGAATGAAGTCTGAAGAGACTCCGTGTTTGTTTTGGAGACAGAAGGTCAAGTTCATCCTCCAGAGCATCTTGTATTCCAATACTGATGTAATAAATATTTGACTAAAAAGCTGTGAAGAGTTTGTATATTGCACTGATGAGTCGTTTTCATGATGAATAGCAATAATAGCAGTAACATACTGTATATAGCAGTGGTGGGCCGTGCATTTTAACTGAGATATTCTTATGGAAACTTAAACCTGGCTTTATATCGCGCAAATAACATCAGCATACAACGCATCAAGCGATAAAAGAGTCAAAAATGAAAATTGACCTACCATACTCTAGTGGTTCTTCATCTTCAAGAGTCTTTCACAGAGCCGGTGCCGAGGAGGTGTGTGGTTGTTTTTCTTAGTCATTAGGACTACTGTTTTTAGATTTACTAAATATAGTAGGCAAATATTTTTTCAAAATGCACTGAAAATCTAAACCTGAGAAACAGAAATAAAAGTTTTACTAAGTTTTAATAAAATGATTTACAGCGATGCTGTTTGCTAGCTAGTATGCTGAGCATCCAATCAAAGGACGAGAAAATGCTGACGTTATCGTTAGCCAACTAGATGGCCCTGGTGCTGCCAACTTGAAATCTGATTGGTTAAAGCAACGGTTTCATTGCCATTGATTTAAGCTAACAGACGCCTGCACTGTTGATTCTGAAGGCCTTAAGGCAGATTTCTTTGACCCTGGCAACACGATTGCTGAAATATGATTGGATAAAAGCTCTAATATAAACATACACTGCTGGAAGCAGTGCAACCAAGAGAAAAGCTATGAAAGGAAGAGAATAGACTACTGGAAATAATTTAATACACATTCATGGAAAAATATATTAAAACTAAATCAGTGATTCTGATAGTGTTTAGGCCAGCAGAGAAGGCTTTGCTGGCCCTGACGGCCCACCAATGATATATAGAGTCATTCAGTCTTTTAATTTGAAATGTACATATTTTAAATACTATGGAATTTTATTCCGCCACAGAATAAAAATAAAAAAAAAGTAAAAATAATAATTAGAATTTGGACTTTTTTCTTGCAATCCTGAGTTGACATCTCTTCTGTCACTTATGTGTTTTTTTTCTGATACAAAATAAAAAATAAAATAAAAAAGGTAATTGCAACTTTTTAATCTGACAATTCTGATAAAAAAAAAATAAAAGTTTAAAAAGTGTGAATTACAAAAAAAAGTCTAAATTGTGAGATAAAAATCCTTTTTATTTTATTTTATTTATTTGTTTATTTTTTATCCAATAGCAGAAACAAGTTTCCATAACATACCCTACCATTTAAAACTTTGGGGTTAGTGAGATTTTTTTTTTTTGTTGTTGTGAATGAAATTAATACTTTTATTCATCATAGATGCATTAAATTGATGAAAAGTGACATTAAAGACATTTATAATGCTACAAAAGATTTCACAGTTTCATACCACGTTTGGCAGGACAACTCTGAGCACATCTTTGATGGTCGTCTGAAGGCTGCTGACATCAACAACGGAGGCCAACTGCAGCAATGCATCCTGGGAAAATAAAAACACAGACACTCAGATAAATAAACAAATAGATCATTTATATTGTCCGCGCACCATCCAAAGGGTCAAAGGTTAATGAATCCTCTGGAAATACAGCTATGATGAGTTTAACCCTGAGCCTCTGCAAATGTCACACCATTAAGGAAATGAATGTCGACGTCTTGCGTTTTCTGTCTTTGAAGCCTCTGGCACGTGCATGATCACTCATCTCTCTTTGAAACTGTTTGACCTTTGACCTCCAGCACGCTGACCTTGTCAGCACGGCTCATTAGCACGTCCACTTAACCCGGGAAATCAGAGCCATTAACCAGCGACGAGAGCGAGACACAGAGAAAGAAACGCTTTTAGCAAATAAGCATTGAACGCATCAATGGATTCAATGCTGCAAACTAACGAACTAAAGTTAACGATGCTATGAACTTGACCGTCAGCAAGACTGCACTGTAACATGAAATGGTTCCAAAAACCCTCACAACACTCATCAGAAGGATTCATTTCAAGCAAATCTCTTCAGTCGGTTTATTTCAACGAACTGACTCAGATTCATCTGAATCTACTCGACTCATAAATGATTCAAACTGAGTTTGTTCTTGCAATGCAATAAATATTGTAAGCACAAACATACACAGCACACTAACATTAGTTTAAAAAGTATTTTTTAAATTACTACTACTGCTTTCAATATTTAATGGTGGTTTGGTATGTTTAAATTTTATTTAATTTTTGATCAGCCAGTGTTGTTATTGTTAACTAAAACTTTGCTAAATGAATCAAGCTAAATAAAAATGTAAAAAAGAATGGAATTTAGAAATGTCGCATTGGAAACTAAGTGAAGTAAGTTGGAAGCACTAAAATTATTAAAACCAAAATGAAAATGGAAATGTAAAATAAAAATGGATTTAACGACTGATACAAATGTTACCAGTTAGCCAGTCAGTATTCTGTGTGTGTGTGTGTGTGTGTGTGTGTGAGTGTAAGTGTGTGTGCGTTCAATCCCACAGCGCTGATCCCACTTTCAATTTTCTGAAGAGGGAATGGCAGAGAGCTTTGTAAAACACACACACACAGTCAGACACACACACACACACACGAGCCAGTTCACACTTGTGTTCATATGTCGCCTGCTATACTAGTTTCGTCTTTCTCATGAAGTCCACTTCTGATTCATATAATTATATATATATATATATATATAAAATATCCTTCACAGAATCGCAAACTCTGCTGGACCCACAAATGATTCAAGGTAAGTTTGACATCAGCAATGCAATACAATACCAAAGCAAAAAAAACTAACATTATGACAAACTTTTTTTTTTTTTTTTTTA